ATCTTCACAAATACAATATACAATAATGTAGTCAAGCCACACAGGATTTGTTTTTATCCATTTCAATGACTACAGCAGCATTTTTCTTTTCAGGCTCGTGATACTGCAGTTTTCTCTCTCTTCTTCACCCACGCAATTACAAAGCTTTAAATTTGCCAGATTTTAGTTTTAAGAGCATGGATGAAGCATTACATGAATTATAAAATCGAGCATATTTCAAATCTATTGTTAGAACACGCATCAAGGAAACATCTGTTTAACAGTTTTCTTAAATAAATACAATGGGATTAGAAAAACTAGATCCATATTTCTTCACTATTGACACATAACTCCAATATATTTCCTGCCATTTGTCAGCGACCTTTCTGCCACTGAGGAGGGCCTTGCTGAGACTAAGAATAAATAGTCTTCAAAGTCTGGCATAAGAAAACAGAGACACCAAAAGTGCCACGTAACAGAGGATCAAACCAGTTGGACCAGTTCACAAGTGAAATACTCATTTAGAGCTGGTGAGCTGTTCTGCAGGTAGAAACCCTATTTGTTCAAACTGCAGAAGGTATTAAGCACAATCTCTTTTACCAACAAAGGAGGGGAATCAATAGAACAGAATAGAATAGAATATAGAATTTAAAAAAATGGTACAATGCATTAAAGTAGGACAGAGGCTTTCCAAAATGGTTTCAGGTTGGGGCCATTCAATCTGCCAGCAACACAGCCCACAGCCAGCACCACAAACAATGATCTCATCTCCTCAAAATGTGACCCGGGCCTGGAGACCTCCCCTATAGCTTGAACACACACACACACACACACTCACTCACATTCACTCACACACACACACTCACACACGCTTTGCATTTTCCACCACTGTAACCTGATCAGCTTGCAGGACAAAAAAAAGAATCAAATAAAACCCCTCGGTCAAAGTGAAATTCCTCCATTTTAGTAAACCTGCCTAAAAATAGAATTCTACACTCATTTTATAATGCCTTGGCTGGAAGTTGTCAGGCAGGAACCACCAGAGGTAGACTATTTGTGTGAAGAGAAGCTGCAGGAAAGACAATTTCTTTTTATTGCTTCCTCTGTAAAGCAACTTTTGTTTCATGTCAGCCATCTTATGAGCGTGCTGCAAAAACTGCCGGGTGTTGTCAAGAGTCTTTTCACATAACTAAGTAGGACGGTCTCTTAGCACATAAAAAAACATTAAAAGCAACAGCCTTCATGCTGAAACCTTCCCCAATAATGGATAATGGATGCTATAATGCTTCAAGAGGAAATGTACAACTGTTCAACAGCTAGGATGATGGACAGACTGGTCACACATGAAATCCCGTCTCCACTTCCTCCACTGACCAGGCCAGCAAAGACCAAACCCGTCGCCCTGTCTGCCCCTGCAACCACAGCTCTGGACTAGGCTAACATGCACACTGCATTCTGGGAGTGAACAGCAGAGTGGCAGTGCGTCTGCCAAAGGGACCAGAACTCTGCTGATGGAGGGGAAAATCTCTCCATCACCTCCTCCTTCTTCCCTCCATCAGCCATCTGGAACCAAAGACTCTGACAGACTGACACACATCAAGGGGCCGACGCTTTCAGATGCTGCTTATTCACATGCATCTTAAAAGGAGCAGCAGTTCTGTGAGTGAAAGCTCCAGTACTGAGTCAGAGGGAGTGGAGTTGATAGGGATGTGACAGATGATGGATGGATACACCATGGCTGAAAACCTACTGTAGTTGCCAACCCTGTGTTCTTGTCCTTAATACTCAAGCCAACTGCTTGTGGCCAATTCTCATCAAACTTCTGTTTCGTATTTTTCTGTTCCCAAGTATTGTGTGCTCCACTGAACTTTTACAGATCAGGAGGTTTTCACTTTTCAGAACTGTTTTGTACTTTGAATAAACCACATTCCACATAGGGCTTTTCTGGCTAAAAGGCTATTTTTAGCCACACTACTGCGAAATAAAACAGAAAAATATGTAGAGATTTACTTCCAGATTAGCCTGAGAGTAGTTGGTTCCCCACTCCAAGGAAGGCTATTACACTGAAACTAAGTACATCAGGTGATTGTTCAGAGATAGAGGCTCTCAGGAAGAACTTCATTTTATCTTTTTCTATCTCAAGTCACTCTATATTATCTCAAATAACAAACATACATCCAGATTATATTGCTCACAGGAAGCACTCAAAAATATAATATGGCCTGGGGTCACACACTTTCATGCCACCTAGTGCACCACACCCACAAAACATTATGCTTAACTTTGCAGAGGCAAAACTGCAGGGTGGTCTAATACTCCATGGTGTTGAAGATATGCATTATAAATTGAGTTAAATCTCCAGTGATGGAGTCCTGCAGAGTACAATGTGAGACAACACTCACAATGGAGTGACAAGAGAGTGGGAGAGATGTGAATGCTGAAAATGACTTCACAATAATAACCCTGCTTGAGGTCTGACCAGAGGTAAATTCTTCCATATGTGAAAGTGGAAGAGACCCCGTTTCTCATTACAGGGATAAAAAATAAATAAAACGAAGTCAAGTCTGTTCTTTGCCACGTAGCTCAGGGATTAAACTCAAGCAAAAACAATACTGTGTAATAATGCAACCATTTCTTGTTAAACAATGTAAAAGCTAACAGATGTCTACTTGCCTGCACATATTTGTATGTGCCTCTTTTGTCACCAAACACAGAGAGCTGTAGCTTGCAATGAGCCCTGGCCATTTAACTGTCTGCAGCATAAAGACACCCTCAGTGGCCTGACAGACTGATGCCTTCACTCACAGGTAACATCCCATACAATATCTGTTTCTAAACGCATGTTAGCATACAAAGTTATGCACTATTACTTTTTTATAGTTGATGTCGAATAATCATTTTCAGTCATGTCCTCTGCATCCAGCTTCTGAAATGTGAAGATTTGCTGCTCTTCTTTGTCACATGTATGTGATAGTAAGCTGAGAATTTTTGATTTTTGGACTGTTAAAATAAGCTATTTGAATACATCTCTTTGAGCTGTGGGAATTATAACCAGTACTTTTCACCATTTTCTGACATTTTATAGATAATGCAATTAATTAATTTCATCTGTTTAGCACTGCCATTTCCTGTGTATCATTCAGATAATAGCTCACTCTGGTTAGTCAGACAACCAAGCAAAGTCAACAGTCCATATGGCTCAGATGAACAGACTGTTGGTCTGGCCTTATAAAATTATTTATAATACAATATAAAATTATTCCCCACTGCAGTGAGAGGAAAATAATGCAAATGAAAAATGTGTTTTTATAATGTACTGATAGATATTTCTCCACTAGCTATTTGTAACTTACAGAAACTTTTCAGTTTCAGTTTGGCAGTAGCTTTGTTTTATTCTGTCGTGTCAGTGGTTGCAGAGAGCAAGTCAGTACTTGCACCTAATTTCTCAGAGGAGAAAGCAGGAAGAGGAGCACAGTCACCTGATCGAAACAGCAGCAAAGAAATACCAGCGTCTGGTCAACAACAGCCAAATGAAATCCAAGTTTTTCATATTTTGATGAAAATGGTGAAAATTTTCTAACCCAGAAAATGGTGTTTCACAATCACTTAGAAAAAGAGACCAAGATTAGCACTTGCATTACAAATACACAATCAGAAACATCAGTATTTGTTCAAAAGTACGTCGAGGGAACCAAGACACAGCTCTGTCGTTTCTAGATTCCCACAGCATTTTCAAAGGCAAGGGGCCACATGAAAGGGTTAATGGCGCAACTTCCCATCCTCTTTTTCATTTCTTCTTTCTGGGTAAACCATAGTCTTTGTATTATAGTCTTTTACACTGAACACAGACTACCATATCCCCCGTCAATTCAGCCCATGTATGAAAGGGCAATTGAGTAACAGCCACATTTGCTCAGTACTGAATGGGATCTGATACTTTCATATAATGTTTTATAATTACTGTCCCCTCAAATAATCACAGAATATAAAGAACTCAGTGTATTTTGCCACCTCTGCCGGTGTGTGTCTGTATGTGTGTATGTGTGTGTGTGTGCTTTTGCATGGCATGGCAACATAATGAGTCACTTTTGAGGAAGCACTGTCATTATTGGATATGACTTCATCAAAATAACAATGCCTTTTGATTGATTCAAAATGCATTTCAGAAAATACTGACACCACAGCACAAAATTGAAGAGATAGTTGAAAACTGTTGTGGAGCTTCTGTAAACAACATATTTCAAGTAGCTAATTTCTGCTCAAGAAGTGGATAAATGTTGTTAAATAATGTAATACACTAATTAGCATATTCATTACATCATTACATTGTATTTGCATTCTGCCTAATGACGGCCAGTTTCAGCTCTTTATCTGAGTGCTTCTCTCCAACTCTCTGTGCTCACATATACAGTATTTTAAAACAGCTAGATTCCAATAAAGCTGTTCTCATTTACATGTTTTTCTGTTATATTTACTTTTAAAATGATCACACAGAGAGAAAGTTAGACACTCATTCAGCTGCTGAGTGGTCAGCACAGAGAGGGGTGCCCGCAGAGGTAAAGCTCTACTTTGCGTGGCAATACTAGCAACTCTCTTCAACAGAAAGTAGCAAAGTTTTGTCCAAAAAGTTAAGTTAGCAACATTGCCTGTAAACACCCTCCTGTTGACGTAAGAGACTGTTCATGCCAAATCATTTTGAAAGAGCAAAGGCCAAGGGGGAAACTGACAGTCGGCCTGCCGACCAAAACTTCATCAGTCAGTCAGTCAGTCAGTCAGTCAGTCAGTCAGTCAGTCAGTCAGTCAGTCAGTCAGTCAGTCAGTCAGTCAGTCAGTCAGTCAGTCAGTCAGTCAGTCAGTCAGTCAGTCAGTCAGTCAGTGACATTCTCAGTTATAGGTCTGGCCCAGCTGTTGCAGTCCAGCCAAATACCTCAAGATGGACTGATAGTGAGCCAAAATGACTGGTGGTGTAGACACAGAAATTTTTTTTTCTCAACCCTACTGTCACATAATTAGCATCTTACCTCCAGGACTGGTCCAGCCCCCAGTATGGTCCTCTCCACCCCGCTGGCATAGCCCTTCTGGCTGAGCGCAGTCAGACAGTGGATCAGGAAGTTGGTACTCTGGGTCTTGCCTGATCCACTTTCCCCAGAGATGACAATGCACTGGTTGACCCTCTTCCTGAGCATGGCATAGTAGGCCACATCTGCGATAGCAAAAATATGAGGCTCCAGTTTGCCCAGCTGGTGGTTCTCGTACATCTTGACATACTTTGGGTTGTAGATGGGCAGGAACTTGAAGGGGTTAATGGCGATGAGGATGCTGCCTGCATAGGTGTAGATCTTTTTCTTGTAAAAGCGTGTGCGCAGGTTATTTAATATCCTGTCCTCATTGAGGACGGGGAGGTTGCAGAGGTCTGCAAAGTCATCCTGCGGAGGTGGAAGGAAGCCTCTGGCAGCTAGCCGCTGTGCCTCCTGCTCTGTGTATACAGATGGGAGGTGGACATAATGGATAGAGCCATCATGGTTCCTCTCCTGGATCAGGGAACGGAAAGGAAAAAAGATTGTGAAACAGTTAATTGCACACACAGTCTTTCTGAGATGGGTGAAATATTCTGGGACAAGCCCAAATGATACCGATCTTACACATGCTCCTGTTATATATTGTGCTAAGAAGGTTGAAAAGACATTGGGAAACATTTTGCATGTAGCAAATTTAGTTTAATTTTTTTGTTAGTTTATGTTACCTAGGTTGACTACTTCTTTTTGTTTCTCACTGAAATGGCAACAAAGAGGAAGAGAGAGCAGGAGGAAGCAGAATGCAATAGTCAGACTGTGGTAGGACTTCTCTTTGTGGTCCACATCCACCATGTCTGACAGCAAAGTGAAATGAGTGCTGTCAACTCTACCTGTAGTAAGAAGTAAAAGCCAAGGTTCTGAGGGTGTTGCTCCTGGGCTTTCCGAGGCCACAGCAGAAACCTCTGTACCGGCAGGTCTCCCGCCTCTAGCACCCACTCTTCTCCACCAGATTCCTTCACCTCTGCCAGCACATACAGGCGGCCGGGGTCCAGCCCCAGTGCCGTGGCAGCGTCCGAGATTACAGAAGCAGCTGTTGCATCCTTCTGCACTCTGAAGAGTAGATAAAAATAATTACTAACTGACTGACTTACAACAGTTCCTTTATCTAATAAATTTGGAACGCTACATAAAAATGTAGAGTTTCATATGAAGTCCTCTGATCTTTTTCAACAACATCATAGCTAAAAAATAAACTATTGATACTAATTTAACATTCTCTAGCAGTAACATTGTGGAACACTCACCTTAGGTTGCAGCAGGTGGAGGGCTGGCAGGCCAGCCGTGGGTAGATCTGGAGCATGTATGAGCGGCCATCATGATCGTTAGGGTTAGCTGGTCCACCTCCCCCTCCTCCTCCACCTGCATTCGTTGCCATGGTGGCAGCGCCATCTCTGACACTCATCCTGAGCCCGGGGGAGTGGCCTCAGCATGCCGCACCCACTGCTTCCCTCTCACCACGGAGCACCTGAAAATGACAGGTTGATCAATCCATGACAGTTTACTTTCACTTTTATAACGAACACCGATAACCATTATCAGTCTGACAAATTTGAATATTCACACAGGAACATAATAAAGGGAAACACAAGTCAGTTTATAGTTAAAACATCTGGGATAAAAGGGAGAGGACTGACTGTCATGCCAACAATTATCTATCCTATTCTAATAAACACTCAGCACTGGTGTATTGCCAGTAGAAACACAGTAAGACAGCCTAGATTGTGAATGGTTTCCAATATACAGAATTACAGCTTTCTAAAAGCCTAAACAAGGCGTCATTGCAGCTCTGAGCAACCATTTTAAAATTCAAACAAAATAGTTGATTTTCAAACAAAGCCTAAAACCACATGGGAAGCTCATCCTTGGTATCTGACCCTCAGCATTTTAGAGCCTGCACATAATGCAACTCTGCTACAGAGATGTGTCTCTGATTACCCTAGAAAAGAGGCTTAGGCAAGCAAATGTAACAGTTTGATCGGAGACAGGCCTTATAAATAAGCAACAGATCATCTTTGAGGCCGATGTCCTATCAAGTTATGTATTGCCTAAGCCTCTTCCCCTGTAATCAGCGGTTCATAAAAAAAAGATGTTAAAACTCTCTGGCAATAAAAACTTCTTCTGGATAAGAAACGTTTACCAGTCACCAGTGAAATGATTCTGAACTATCAGAAGAGAAATCAAGTGAGAAATCATAGGCTATAAGGGGAGAAATCACTTCAGCAGCACTTCATGTTGTGGAACGAAGACAAGTGTGTTGTAAAAATTTTTTTATTCTAGGCCTTCACTTAATTCTTAAAAAGCGCCATACATCAAGGGATGTCTATAGGCCTACTTTGATTCCAGAACGGACTCAGAGATTAGACAAAAAAAACCATGAGTGTTTTAAACTACTGGGACACTGCTTATCATTTTAAAGGTTATAATGCAAGCGCTGTCCATCCCTGTGGCTGACAAATCAAACAAAATTATTACATGGGCAAAACTAGTTGGAAAAAAACATTATTATAGCAGTACCTGCGATATAACAAGAAGGAGAATAATCACTCAAGATACCTGAGTCAGGGCCTAAATTGTCTGTCTGCAGCCACGTCTCATCTCATCCATAATATGCTTAAAGTAATACCTAAACATCTTGATCTTTAGTTCAATAAACAGGGAAAGCTAACCTTCTAAAACAGCACTTTTCTCAGCTGATGCCAAAACAGAAATTGTTTGCCATATTTTAATATTTGGTATTTGACTGAGAGAAAGCCAGTGGTTAAATTGAGTTAATACAGCCTATTTCCAGTTTGTGGTTTTTCTAAAAATACACTTCTGTCATCAGAGTAGGTCAAATGAAATTAAACTGTACTTCCATTTACAAAAAAATAAATAAAGAGTTGTATTCCTATATCTCTAGAATGTACATGAGCCTGTGTACAGGTTCCAGACGTGCGATGACTGGTATTTCATAACACCGCAGCACATTGTTATCACATCATGTACATAACTTTGCCACTGATACTTTACCGTACGTTGCAGCTGCAGATGCTGCAAAGAAATTGAACCCTTCCGCTCAATGATAGCAACCAAGACACAAAAACAGAGAACACTTAGGGTAAACCACAAATAGTCTAATGACTGCACACTATTCACTCTCACACAAGACACCTACAGTGATGTATGACGTAGATCTCAGCAGCAGGATAAAGTGTTTAGCAACTCCTCACCACAACAACTCATCTCTCCATCCAAGAATAATTCAATTTTCTCTTCCTGGCAAAGTCCCAATGCAAAAAGTCTTAAAACATCACAGAGCCCTGAGCAGACCATTAACTGAGAACAAAGTAGAGGTTTGTTCAGTCCTTACTATGGATATCACTGTTTTCCTCACTGAGGTGAAGCTGCCTTGAGGATGTACCAGACTCCTTTATGAACTAAATTAAAATTAACTAAAGGACGAACGTCGTACTGATGAATCACAAGGCTGGCATTCATGTCATAAAACACACCGGAGTCATCAAGGTCGGGCACCAATTCTTTAAACCTCTGTGATGTAACTATGACACTGTTTAAAAGGAGAGATGGGCAATGTGCCATGCATATCTGATAGTTAAGTCATTCAAATCAATCACTCTACCTCCGTTTTGGTTGGTAGTGCATTAATCAATAAAATCTGCTAAATGCTAAACGGTCTCGTGTTCTTGGCGCAAAGAAAACTATACTTAAAAAATACTGATTTATAACCATATAGGTATTCTGTATATAGATATCTGCAGAAACAAAGTGTAACAGCTTTCCACACCACCATCTACTGTGCAGTAGTTAGTGTCTGTACAAAACCAACTGCTCTGTAATTTTCACTCAAATTATTGTACAACCATACTTCTTTGTATAACTGGGTTCACTTTACCCCACACCAAAATTACTGACAGTGTCGGTTGCTGTGGTTACTTTGCCAGACTGACATGATGACAGTTTTACGTCACCACTGTTAAACAGAAAGCCTGGCCAACACCTCTGATCGGTTTCAAGTCAACTCTTTGAAGTAGTGCTGAGGTATTTCAGTTCTGATTCAGTCTAACATCAAACTGGACCACAGCCAAAGGAATACGATCCAGGTTAATGCTCTGTGTAACAAAAATTAATGCAGAATAGTGATCTATAGTTGCATGTGCAGCAGCTGGGTAAAGTTTGTTCTAATGATGGATCATGTAGTGTGGCTTTGCATCAGTAATGCATGCTGTGTAAACTGTAAGCCCCCCTTGGGAAACAGGAACCTGGTTTAAATCACTGTGTGGCAGGCAGACTGCACTGCTTTGGTAACCTGATCCAGGGTCGAGTCCTGTAAGCCTACAGTTTATCACTTTTATCATTCAAGCAGAGACAGTTTATTTTCTCAACCTGAAAAATAAGAAATGTTATAGTCTGAGATATGCCCAAAATAAGCAGGCCCAGGGAAAAGAGGGTCTCGCAGACGTTTACATGCATTATGAAATCAAGTTCTCCATTTCTCCATTACAAAGTTTCAAGTTTCAAGTCAAACTTTCCAGTGACTGATATAACCTATTGTAGGCATATGTTCTGTGTAGTTATCGTAAACCATTTTACAAATTGACCTTTTAGCTCAGATAAGAGGACAGCTCATTTCAATCGTGTGAAAAAATATGAAGTTGAGTGTTGGTGGCAAAGATAATGTTTTGTGTATTCCTCTACAGTTTAACCACAGGAATTTTTGACAATTAAATAATAATCCTACACACTCTCAACCAACAGTTTCTATCTTCCAAAGGAATAAGCTCCTAACTTAACCAACAACAGATACCACACAAAACCACACAGTGCTGCTAATAACTGGTTGCATCTATCTACCCACTATATCTGGATTGGCCTTAATTGATCCTTTTGCATTGTCCAAGCCTGTTTCAGATACTGTTTCCCTTTTGCCTCTATGATGCATGAGCCTTATCAATCTTTATAAGTTTCTGTTTGTAATTACTCATCAAAAGCATTGACAGGAAATTATTGTTTAAAACATCCAAAGTTAACTACATGCTATAAGTAAATCAAATACAAAACTGAACAACAGGGATATCTTGACAAAGCCAACTTTGGAATCATTTAGGTCAGAGGAGAGAATTAGAGGAAAAATAGAGCAACTTGAGACTCATGAGCTTGTACTTTTGCCAAGCTAGCTGACCACAGTCCCAAAAACATGCAAGCCAGTAAAATGCCAAGGCATGCAAAACTGCAGAGACCACAAAAGACAGCATCATCATTATCCTCCATCATGGGCTCTGTCTGGTTTAAATCCGTCCCTTTAACTCCTGAGCTGCTCTCTCAACTAGTTTCAAAAGAGCACAACACAAAGCTACAGTATCTGTGTGTACAACATAAAGCATTTCATCTCAATTTGTGTGGCTGTGCAGAGAGAAAAAAAAGCTGGAATAAAAAAGGTAGTGACAGAGAGAAAATCGAACAAAGAAAATGAGAAGAAGGCAGGGGGAGAGGCAGAGAGTGAGAAAGGTAAACATCTAAAAGTGAGACAGAAAAGAGGGAGGTCCCAGGGGACAATCAAAGGAGACGGAGGCTTTGAGATAATACAGCTTCCTGCGTGCAGAGGAGATCCTCTGTGAGGATGCCCAGCATTCCACAGATAAGACCCAGGGTTGTCTGCTCTGCGGAGGCTTAGCCTGGCACTTTACTTGCTTATTGGGGGCGGATGGGAGACACTAGAGCACAGCACTACAGCTGAGGGTAGAGAGGGGCCCTTTAGCTCCTGTGGACAGGAGGAGGCATTAACAGCTAACAAGCTCCTTAAACCAGACGTTTTTAAAAGAGGCACCACTCATCCCTGTTAACTTCATCCCACCTAACCCCTAATTATCCAGTCAGAGAGAATAGGCTTTCAGTAAATTAATTCCACTGTACACTCATCAGGAAAATAGATGTAAGAAATGTTACTCAGCTGCTTTACCAACACAACAGAAATTGAATTGAGTACAATTAACACCACATATTGAGAAATGGGGTTTAGTTTTTTTCTCCTCGTTAATTTTTCTCTTAGACCACACATATTCGTATGTCCAGCCTGCTGCACTGATTTTCAATCCTCTGCGGCAAGGGAACTATCAAACACAGTTGTCTGGGGGTCAATATCTCACTGAGCCATGGTATGACCACAACAAAGTTATGGCCCATTGTATATGCTATAATTCGGATGGGCACAATTTTAAAAGAGCAATTGTGTACACGTACCCCACTGCCAAATAAGGAGAAGGAGAAAAAAAACAGCTGCATAAAAGAAGCACTCTTCTAACTTCATTATAACTGAAGCTGAAATGACAGTGAGAGAGGGATTTGTTTGACAATCACTGACAGAGTGAATTAAGCCAAACAGGGTCTTACTCGCTCTCTCCTTTCTCCCAGCTCCTACTCTATCTTCCTCATCCACCCTCAAAGAAATAGTGAAAAGGTCCACCCAGA